ATTAAAGTTAATTTGCACCAGTGAGCTAAGTCTATAATGATGATGTGTGCTGAACTTCGTTTTGTAACCGCTTGGGCTTAACTCGTTGTTTTCAGGAGTTACAACAATGAAAGCCTCAACATTAATTTTATTCAATAATTTGAACGTTGGGTGTTTATTATTACAAAAACGTTAGCAGCAAGCCAACAACTTTCATTTTGAGTATATATATGTGTGTTCTGCCAGGCTATTGTGTTGGCTACGAAAAAGATTATTTTTGAGCTAAAAACACCCTTCTATTTTTACTCTGCTGGATTAATAATCTTCTACTCTCGTTGTTCTGTTACCGGCTTATGCCGAAGAGCTCGTTTTATCTTGGGGAAAGATTTTCGTTAGTCGGAAATACTTTCTTGAGGACAGCGTTCACGCGACTCGAGCTATTTTATTTTCTAACGTTTTTTGCAGGTTTATCCGGCCAATTGCTACAACAATCTTATGCCTAAAAGCACTATGTATGGGAGAGAAACATTTCCCGCCCAAGTTTTAGTTGGCTTACCTCATCTTATATGATCTTTTTATACCTAAAAGCACTACGCGCGTGAGAGAAAATTTTCCAGGTCAATTGTTTAAACGGCCTATCTTATGCCTAAAAGCACTTCCCGCCCAAGTTTTAGTTGGCTTAACTCATCTTATTTTATCTTATACCAAAAAGCACTACGTGTCACGCCCCGGACCTATCCGGACACGTCAACAACCCGCCGTACAATACGAATAGTCAACCGCAGTCCAACACATTCATATTATACAAGGCGTCTTGAATATCATTCACACATATACATCCATAAACAAACATAATAAGTAATTCATAACGCAGCGGAAACATTGTTTAAAACAAAAGGCCACACAAGGCATTTCATGAGCACGCAGGCTCCATAGTAAAATATCCATGAGCACGTTTAGGAAGGTTTAAAAACAGAATGGAGGAAGCACGAACCAAGTCTTCCCTCCTATATGATCTCTCGAGCAACGAGCACAGGAAGCAAGCTCTAGCCTCAACCTGAAAAATGGTGGTGGGACGCCCCCGAAGGGGTCAGCACTCTATACGGCTATAAAGTACTGGTGTGGCAGGCATCTAATAGATATACAACAAGTATTTCAAACACAAGACCCTCAAATAGGGTGATAGTACATTATGATTTGTAACCCTAGTTACCCCGTTTAAAAATATACTTACTTATTATAAAAGTCAAGTAGTCGGCCCGTGGGCCCATGTTTATTTGGAAATCACCATTCCCACCCCCGTGACTATAAGCCACGACAACTCCTAGAGTCCAACCCTAGTACATGACATTGTATTCTAGAGCTCGGCTCTACCACATCACCATACAATTCATATACCTCGGGTCAATCTCCCTACCTTGCGTTCTAGAGCTCGGCTCTATCACATCACCACGCAAGTCCTAGAGCTCGGCTCTAGCTATACAATACATAGACTCCAAGTCTACACCTTACATGCATTCTAGAGCTCGGCTCTATCACATCACCATGCATTAAGGTCCAATTCTCAAGCAACCCTATGCCTAGAATTGACATATCATTAAACTACCATGGGTCATCCTTAAAGACTCCCCATAACTTAACCTTAGTTCCATACTAAGTTATCATATACACTTGAACTACATTCAAGTACCTTTCATACAATCCAATCCCTAGGATCAATTTAATCAACAAGTTCCAATAATCACTAACTAGTATTCCAATACTATTAAGATTATTGTTATCGTACCATTATCCTCATTGTTTGTAATTCTCTACATATTTATAATTATGTAGCAGCAACTTAAGTATTCAATCTCAATACACAAATATTCATTTATGTATCCACATGATTCATACATGAGCAAAATGCTCATTTTCACAAAATAGTTCATTTATACTCATTTAATCTCATATTATTCATACTTTCTCAAATCATTCCAAATTCATTCTTTGGCAACTATATCAATATTTCATCAATATATAGTCATCATAATCCATGAAAATCATGATTTAATCATTTAGGTAATCTCATGCTTAACCTACAAGTTGTAAGCAATTAGATGTCAATCCTCACCTCAATTGAGCTTTAAACTTTCCCTTCTTGGTCCAATGGTCAAATCTTTGGTCAAGGTGGATTTGGGACTGATTCCTTGCTCAAATATGAGTGTTAAACAGCCTCCTCAAAGTGCTAGTTCAACCCTTAATCGTTGATACGAAAACAGCCCCTAGAACGGGTGTTTCCCGGCTAACTCGATTCCTAGTTTTCCAATATTTGCATCTAGGTTAGTATCTAACCTTTACATCAATAAAATAACTTTATAAGGACATATTATACACTTGGATTAGTGTATAATAGTCTCACCAATCGTTCATATCATTTGGAGAATGAAAAGTAAAGCTTTGGGGTTAAAACTCACTTTAGAAGATTAAATCCTCTCCTGCGAGGTTGCGTTTTTCTCGGACGATTTGGAAGCCTTCCACAACTCCGATTCCTGCAAACCAGGCCTTCACAGATTCCTCGTCTTGAGAGCTTTCTTTTGGTATATCATACGTCTTATTTGGACGAGTGAAGCTCAAGTTATGGATCAAACAAGAGACCCTATCTGCTGGAAAACGAATCCTGCGGCCAGCTTCTCTCTTCTCTTCTCCCTTGGAATATGTGGCTCCCTCTTTCTCTCTTATCTTGGGAGTTCGAATGGGGTGTAGGGGAAATGTATTAGGAAGGCCTCAATCATGCTAAGAGAGCATGTGGTTCACAAAAAGAAAGGTGGGGTATTTGATTGCAATCAAACATGGTATGGACCTCCTCTTTTATTTCCTTTTTGTAATGTTGTAGCTCATGAGTCAAAAGTCCGCCCCACATAGTTGTCTCATCCATTTTTCTTTGTCTTTGCAGGTACCAAGGTCATGTGGGATGGTTCCCAAATGATCCCATTTAATTTGGGGTCCAAAATATCTACCAATACTTCCAAAAATGGGAAGATGGGTCCTATTGTTTTATCTTTGTCAAAAGATGTCTTTTTTTTTGTACTCATTCTAATTTATTTAGAGCAAGTCAACTTCCTAAATCACATTATTGATCTCCAATATGTGTAGGCTCATCCCAATAATTTACATGATGAAAATTACAAAAGAATGCGGGTTTGAACAATACAATATTCAATCATGTACTTCGTAAAATATTAATCGTTTCTTCCATTGCTTTGAAATCGGAAATTCAATACATCACTTTTGAATTTTTAAATCGAATTTTCAAGGACGTTCGGGTGCGGTGTCACAAGTTCACCCCCCCTTAACAGGAATTTCGTCCCCAAAATTCACAGCTCTACTCGAATAGGAAAGCATACTGCTTCCTCATCAAAGCCTCCGTTTCCCATGTCTCTTCCTCGACCCGATCGCTCTTCCACAGGACTTTAACCATTGGGACTTCTTTGCTCCTCAGCTTCTTCACCTTTCTATCGGTGACTTTGATAGGTTGAACAGCGTAGTTCAAATCCTCACGTACCTCTACAGGTGGCTTCTCCAATACGTGAGAGGGATCATGCACGTACTTCTTAAGCATGGATACATGAAACACATTATGTATCTTCTCTAACTCAGGAGTCAATTGTAGACGATATGCAACGGCCCCAATCCTCTCTATAATTCTGAATGGACCTATATATCGTGGGTTAAGTTTTCCTCGGGTTTGGAACCGAATGATCCCTTTCCAAGGAGAAACTTTCAAGAATACCTCGTCATCAACCTTAAACTCTAAGGTTCTTCGACGCTTATCTGCATAACTCTTTTGTCTATCCTGAGCCGCCTTGAGTCTCTCTCGAATCAACTTCACCTTTGATTTGGTGACCTCCACCAACTCAGTACCCTCGAGTTTGGCCATGCCAACCTCGTCCCAGCATAACGGTGTACGGCACCTCCTCCCATACAATGCCTCGTATGGAGGCATGCCGATGCTTGCCTGATAACTGTTGTTATAGGCAAACTCCACAAGTGCTAAGTGGTTGTCCCAACTCCCCTGGAACTCCAATGCACAAGCCCTCAGCATGTCTTCTAGGATCTGTATAACCCTTTCAGACTGCCCATCCGTCTGTGGATGGAAAGCAGTGCTGAACTTCAACTTCGTTCCCATAGACTCCTGGAATTTCGGCCAAAAACGTGATGTGAATCGTGGGTCTCTATCAGATACTGTGACACCGCTCCCGAAGGTCCTTGAAAATTTGATTTAAAATTCAAAGTTTATGTATTGGATTTCCGATTCCCAAACATTTGTTAAACGATTAATGTTTTACGTAATTAATGACCGATTATTATACTGTTCGAACTCGTATATTAGTATCGGGCTTGCGAATACTCATTTTGGGCCCAACCTGCTAAAAATAGCAAGTATTCGAGAATGGCGTTCTGGATCCACTCGGGGGTGACCCACACGGCTAGTAGCCCAATAATATGTATGACAAATGTCAAATAAGTGATAGGATGATTAAAGAAGAATACAAATGCCTATAACCCCACCTTTGGCCTTATTGAGCTAAATAATGGGAGTAGGATTTTCCTTCTATAATATCTATCAAGTAAATTATTGGGATGAGCCTACACATATTGGAGATCAATAATGTGATTTGAGAAGTTGACTTGTTCTAAATAAATTAGGATGAGTACAAAAAGACATCTTTTGACAAAGATAAAACAATAGGACCCATTTTCCCCATTTTTGGAAGTATTGGTAGATAATTTGGATCCCAAAATGATTGGGATCAATTGGGAACCACTCCACATGATATTAGTACCTGCAAGACAAATAAAAATGGGTTAGGAGACTTACCTTGGCCGGCCATTATGGAGAAGAGCTGCACATGACTTGATAAGAATCAAAGTTTGGGGCCACCACTCTTATTTTCGCACAAATTGGTGTGCTGTTTGTCTCCTCTCATTATAGGAGCTATCCTCAACCAAATAACGTGTATGAGGTGTCCTTGGATAGATTTTGAAGTCTATTTTTATAATTGAGTGGTCTCAATTCGAGAGGAGAGAGCAATCATCCAAAAATCGATCTGGAACGAGCAGAGGTCTGTGAACTCGAGCTGTGAGAGTGCTGAGACTGTTTGGTCGATATCTCGAGTTTTACAAATCCAATTAAGGCGTGTGAGATACCCACAGAAAGCTCTCAAGACGAGGAATCCGTGAAGGTCTGGTTTGCAGGAATCGGAGTTGTGGAAGGCTTCCAAATCGTCCGAGCAAAACACAACCTCGCAGGAGAGGATTTAATCTTCTAAAAGTGAGTTTTAACCCCAAAACTTTACTTTTCATTTTCCAAATGATATGAACGATTGGTGGGACTATCATACACTGATCCAAGTGTATAATATGTCCTTATAAAGTTATTTTAGTGATGTAAAGGTTAGATACTAACCTAGAGCAAATCTTGGAAAAACTAGGAAACGAGTTGACCGGGAAACACCCGTTCTAGGGGCTGTTTTCGTATCAACGATTAAGGGTTGAACTAGCACTTTGAGGAGGCTGTTTAACACTCATATTTAAGCAAGGAATCAGTTCCAAATCCACCTTGACCAAAGCTTTGACCATTGGACCAAGAAGGGAAAGTTTAAAGCTCAATTGAGGTGAGGATTGACATCTAATTGCTTACAACTTGTAGGTTAAGCATGAGATTACCTAAATGCTTAAATCATGATTTTTCATGGATTATGATGACTATATATTGATGAAATATTGATATAGTTGCCAAAGAATGAATTTGGAATGATTTGAGAAAGTATGAATAATATGAGATTAAATGAGTATAAATGAACTATTTTGTGAAAATGGGCATTTTGCTCATGTATGAATTATGTGGATACATAAATGAATATTTGTGTATTGAGATTGAATACTTAAGTTGCTGCTACATAATTATAAATATGTAGATAATTACAAACAATGAGGATAATGGTACGATAACAATAATCTTAATAGTATTGGAATACTAGTTAGTGATTATTGGAACTTGTTGATTAAATTGATCCTAGGGATTGGATTGTATGAAATGTACTTGAATGTAGTTCAAGTGTATATAATAACTTAGTATGGAACTAAGGTTAAGTGATGGGAAGTCTTTAAGGATGACCCATGGTAGTTTAATGATATGTCAATTCTAGGCATAGGGTTGCTTGAGAATTGGACCTTAATGCATGGTGATGTGGTAGAGCCGAGCTCTAGAATGCATGTAAGGTGTAGACTTGGAGTCTATGTATTGTATAGCTAGAGCCGAGCTCTAGGACTTGCGTGGTGATGTGGTAGAGCCGAGCTCTAGAACGCAAGGTAAGGAAATTGACCCGAGGTATATGAATTGTATGGTGATGTGGTAGAGCCGAGCTCTAGAATACAATGTCATGTACTAGGGTTGGACTCTAGGAGTTGTCGTGGCTTATATTCACGGGGTTGGGAATGGTGATTTCCAAATGAACATGGGCCCACGGGCCGTCTACTTGACTTTTATATAAAGTAAGTATATTTTTAAACGGGGTAACTTAGGGTTACAATCATAATGTACTATCACCCTATTTGAGGGTCTTGTGTTTGAAATACTTGTTGTATATCTATTAGATGCCTGCCACACCAGCACTTTATAGCCGTATAGAGTGCTGACCCCTTCGGGGGCGTCCCACCACCATTTTTCAGGTTGAGGCTAGAGCTTGCTTCCTGTGCTCGTTGCTCGAGAGATCATCTAGGGGCGAAGACTTGGTTCGTGCTTCCTCCATTCGGATTTTAAACATTAATAAACATGCTCATGGATATTTTATTATAGAGCCTGCGTGCTCATGAATAGCCCTGTGTGGCCCTTTTGTTTTAAACAATGTTTTCCGCTGCTTTATGAATTACTTATTATGTTGTTTATGGATGACTTGTGTGTGAATGATATTCATGACGCCTTGTATAATATGAATGTGTTGGACTGCGGTTGACTATTCGTATTGTACGGCGGGTTGTCGACGTGTCCGGGGAGGTCCGGGGCGTGACAATTAAGTTGGTATCAGAGCCTTAGTCCATAAACTTCATAATGAAGTCTCAAAATTCTCTTTTTGAAAAGATTTTGAAAACCATGAGCATAGAAGTTTTGTACTTGGAGAGCTTTTGGTACTTGGGTTGCAAGGTCTCTAATTGTTAAGATGGTACCCTTAGCAATTGGTATGGCGGTGACTCGAGCCAAAATGTGTCTTAAGTACCTATCCGTCAATTGACATTCGATACGAGTCTAACGACTCTTTCCAAATTTCTTTCAGAAATGGACCGTGGTGGCAGGATTACTAGGAGAAACCCGACGGGCCGTGTACCAGTGGAGACTGGACAGGGCATTCGAAGGACCTCTAGGGCATCTAGAGGAGCTGGCCGTGGAGGCCGATCACAGACCGTGAGTGACGGTCATGTTGACACGGAAAGTGAGACCTACTGGTCCTATGAGGACTCGACTTACCAACCGGAGACAGAGCCGGTTGAGACCCCTTATGAAGGGGATGATGACGATGTAAGTGATGAGGAGGAAAATGGCTCCTTAGCACGGATCGAAGCACTACTCCAACAATACCACAGGGAGCGTGAAGAGAGGAGGCAACGCCGAAGACGCCGAGCGGGGCAACCTTCGGGCATGGCTTCAAGAGGAGGAAGTCATGGTGCATCTAGAGTCCATGTGGAACCACATGGAGGCCGAAATGATGGAGGTCCAACCATAAGGATCTCCAAATTTATCAAAGAAGCAAGGGACTTGGGGTGCAAACCCTTTGATGGGGCAGGGGACATTTCAGTTGCAGCACAATGGATCAAGAGGCTAAATGAAGCAGCCCTTGACATGCAAATCGCGCCGAATCTCAAACTGAGAATTGCGGTAAGATTGCTCGAGGGGATGGCATCCAAGTGGTGGGATGGAACCAAGAGCAAGTACGGTGAGACCGTCGTTTGGGAGGACTTCCAACGGGAGTTCTTTGCCCAATATTATTCTGATTTTGAAGTAAACAAGAAGGTGAGGGAATACACCCTCCTAACCCAAGGGGGTAACATGACAGTGAAGGAACTTGAGTACAAGTTCCGGGATCTCGCCGACTACATACCGGAGTATGCTTGTGACGAGAACCGAATGGTAAACCACTTTTGGGATGCTCTTGACTTGGAGATACGTGATAGGGCAACACAATTGCCTAATATGACTTTCGCCCAAGTGGTTGACCAAGCGTTGAAAGGAGAGAAACAATGGGAAGAAAGGAAGAAGAAAGACGCCGAAGAGGCGAAAAAGAGAAAGTGGGAGAGTCATGGCTCTCAAGGTTCCAACAAGGGGAATCATGGGGGAGGACCTTTCCGAGCACCACCGCCACCATCTAGGGGGAACCAAGGCCCGAGTGGGCAAGGCTCGAGGTCACAAGCCTCAGTGGTAACTCGTTGCAACAATTGCAAGAAACACCACTCCGGTAAATGTCGTGACCCCCCTAGATGTTTCCAATGTGGGGATGCCGGACACTTGAAGGCGCATTGCCCCCAGTTGGGTGGGGCAAGGACATCAGGACCAAGTAGCGGGGCTGCGGGAAGTAGAAACCAAGCCGGGGGCTCCCAAGTAACCAGGGGGCAAGGGGGAGCAAGCGCGAGTAACGCGCCGTCCGTGAATCAAGGAAGGACGCAAGCTAGAGTCTATGCAATGACCGAGGCCGATGCTCGGGCTAATCCCGACTCCATCGCTGGTAATACATTTAATTTGGGCACTTTTAGGCTTACTTAGACCATGTACGTCATTGGGATTGAGTGCGGGCCACCCCGGGGCCAAACCGGGCGAGTTAGGCCAAATCGGGCTGGAAACAGCCACTGCCGGCCAGGCACGCCTGCAGGCACGCCGTGCGTGGCACCGTGCCTGGGAGGCAGTGGCCTCGCTAAGGAGTTCCGGCCAGGCACGGCTGCAGGCACGCCGTGCGTGGCACCGTGTCTGGGAGGCAGTGGCCTCCTCGAGGAAATTCAGCCAGGCACGGTCGCAGGCACGCCGTGCGTGGCACCGTGCCTGGGAGGCAGTAGCGCCCAGGGCTTTTTCCCAAGCCAGGCACGATCGTGCCTACCCCAGGCACGCCGTGCCTGGCACCCAGATGGCCGAGGATAGATTTTTCGCACCGTTTTGCGACGTTAAGACCCGTTCTTGATCCCAAACACATGTGTGAACATAATAAACCTCTCTAAATGTGTAAGAATGGTAGGAAAGGTATCTTACATGACTTATAAATGTAGGAACACTAAAGATTAATGGGAAGGATGCGCGAATCCTTATCGATACCGGGGCGCAACGTTCATTTGTGAATGAAGCGTTCGCCAAGAGGTTGGGAGTGCAATCCGCACCATTGATGCAAACCTTAGTGGTGTCAACACCACTAGGGGATGACGTGGAAAGAACTTGTTACCATCCATCTTGTGGGGTGGAGGTTAATGGTCAAACCTTGACGTGTGACTTCGTACCGCTGAGCATGATGGAATTCGATGCAATCCTAGGGATGGATTGGCTAGAAAGGAACCATGCTAGGGTAGATTGCTACACGAAGGTTCTTGAACTCGAAGGCAATGATGGGGAGACCCTACGCTTCGAGGGCGATCGAGGGAGATCAAATAGCTGCATCATATCCGCCGTGAGAGCGAGAAGTATGATGAGAAAGGGATGCCACGCATATCTAGCATACGTGGTTGACAAAACCAAAGAAGAAACGAACATCGATGATGTGAGGGTGGTTTGTAAGTATCCGGATGTCTTCCCTAAAGACTTACCGGGGCTTCCACCTGATAGGGAGATTGAGTTTGTGATCGAGGTTGAGCCCGGCACCAAACCAATCTCCATACCGCCATACCGTATGGCACCCGCTGAACTTAACGAGTTGAAAACCCAATTGCAGGAGCTTTTGGATAATGGTTTCATTAGACCCAGCCACTCCCCGTGGGGAGCACCAGTTCTTTTTGTGAAAAAGAAAGATGGGACACTCCGAATGTGCATTGACTATCGTCAACTGAACAAGGTCACAATCAAGAATAGGTATCCTTTGCCTAGGATTGATGACTTATTTGATCAACTACGAGGAGCAACCGTATTTTCAAAGATTGACTTGAGGTCGGGGTACCACCAATTGAAGATTAAGGAGGATGACATACCAAAGAGTGCTTTCCGCACAAGGTATGGGCATTTTGAATTCCTTGTTATGTCGTTTGGGTTAACAAACGCCCCGGCGGCATTCATGGACTTGATGAACCGAGTATTTCATAAATACTTGGATCGATTCGTGATTGTGTTCATAGATGACATCTTGATTTACTCAAAGAGTGAAGAAGAGCATGAGGAGCACTTGATACTTGTTCTTGAAACACTACGGGAGAAGCAACTCTATGCCAAATTTTCTAAATGTGAATTTTGGCTAAAGGAGATTGGCTTCCTCGGGCACGTGGTTTCGGGATCGGGGATTGCTGTTGATAACAAGAAGATAGAAGCCATTACTGAATGGGAGAGGCCAAAGAACGTCAAGGAAATTCGTAGTTTCCTTGGATTGGCAGGCTACTATAGAAAGTTCGTGGAAAAGTTCTCTGTTTTGGCATCGCCATTGACGAAGCTCACTCGTAAAGGAGCTAAGTTTGTATGGGATGACAAATGTGAGAAAGGGTTCATGGAACTAAAGAAGAGATTGACTGAGGCACCGGTACTTGCATTACCCAAACAAGGTGTGGGGTACGATGTCTATAGCGATGCGAGCATCCAAGGGCTCGGATGTGTACTGATGCAGAATGGGAGGGTAATCGCCTATGCTTCACGACAATTGAAGAAGCATGAGGTGAATTATCCTACTCATGATTTGGAGCTCGGGGCAGTGGTATTTGCACTGAAGATATGGAGACATTATCTCTACGGGGAGACATGTCACATATACACTGATCACAAGAGCTTGAAGTACGTGTTTACTCAGAAAGAGCTAAACATGAGACAGAGACGGTGGATGGAGCTGATAAAAGACTACCATCTAGTGATAGAGTATCACCCAGGCAAGGCAAACGTGGTGGCAGATGCTTTGAGCCGGAAGAGCTCGTCTGGGGCATTGATAACTAATTTGAGGGCATTAAGAGCCCAACTGGAGGTAACCAGCGATGGTGCCTTATTGGCACGATTTGAGGTGAGACCCACTTTACTTGATGAGATCAAGAAGGGTCAGGAAGCCGACGAAGAACTTATGAAGGTCCGGGAACGCATGCAAGCGGGGCCGGTGGAGGATTTCAGGGAAAGAGATGATGGTCTCTTGTTATTTCGTGACCGAGTGTGTGTGCCGTCAGATGATGAGCTCCGAAAGTCCATCTTAGAGGAGGCTCATTCATCGGCTTATGCCATGCACCCGGGGGGCACGAAAATGTACCGTGATTTGAAGGAAAGTTACTGGTGGTCTGGAATGAAGAGGGAAATAGCCGAGTACATCAGTCGGTGCCTTACTTGTCAACAAGTTAAGGCAGAACATCAGCACCCAGCAGGCTTGTTGCAACCACTCTCCATCCCTGAATGGAAGTGGGAGCACGTGACTATGGATTTCGTGGTAGGCTTACCACGGACTATCAGGAACTATGACGCGGTTTGGGTCGTTGTGGATAGGCTCACAAAGAGTGCACACTTCTTGCCTATCAACACTACCTACCCACTTGAGAGGTTAGCCAAATTGTATACGGATGAGGTCGTGAGGCTGCATGGGGTCCCGGTGACCATTGTATCTGATAGAGACCCACGATTCACATCACGTTTTTGGCCGAAATTCCAGGAGTCTATGGGAACGAAGTTGAAGTTCAGCACTGCTTTCCATCCACAGACGGATGGGCAGTCTGAAAGGGTTATACAGATCCTAGAAGACATGCTGAGGGCTTGTGCATTGGAAGTTATGCAGATAAGCGTCGAAGAACCTTAGAGTTTAAGGTTGATGACGAGGTATTCTTGAAAGTTTCTCCTTGGAAAGGGATCATTCGGTTCCAAACCCGAGGAAAACTTAACCCACGATATATAGGTCCATTTAGGATTATAGAGAGGATTGGAGCCGTTGCATATCGTCTACAGTTGACTCCTGAGTTAGAGAAGATACATAATGTGTTTCATGTATCCATGCTTAAGAAGTATGTGCATGATCCTTCTCATGTGTTGGAGAAGCCGCCCGTGGAGGTACGTGAAGATTTGAACTATGTCGTGCAACCGGTAAGAGTTATTGACAGAAAAGTGAAGAAACTGAGGAGTAAAGAAGTTCCAATGGTTAAAGTCCTTTGGAAAAGTGACCGGGTCGAAGAAGAGACTTGGGAAACAGAAGCTTTGATGAGGAAGCAGTATGCATTCCTATTTGAGTAGAGCTGTGAATTTCGGGGACGAAATTCCTGTTAAGGGGGGGTAAACTTGTGACACCGCTCCCGAAGGTCCTTGAAAATTTGATTTAAAATTCAAAGTTTATGTATTGGATTTCCGATTCCCAAACATTTGTTAAACGATTAATGTTTTACGTAATTAATGACCGATTATTATACTGTTCGAACTCGTATATTAGTATCGGGCTTGCGAATACTCATTTTGGGCCCAACCTGCTAAAAATAGCAAGTATTCGAGAATGGCGTTCTGGATCCACTCGGGGGTGACCCACACGGCTAGTAGCCCAATAATATGTATGACAAATGTCAAATAAGTGATAGGATGATTAAAGAAGAATACAAATGCCTATAACCCCACCTTTGGCCTTATTGAGCTAAATAATGGGAGTAGGATTTTCCTTCTATAATATCTATCAAGTAAATTATTGGGATGAGCCTACACATATTGGAGATCAATAATGTGATTTGAGAAGTTGACTTGTTCTAAATAAATTAGGATGAGTACAAAAAGACATCTTTTGACAAAGATAAAACAATAGGACCCATTTTCCCCCATTTTTGGAAGTATTGGTAGATAATTTGGATCCCAAAATGATTGGGATCAATTGGGAACCACTCCACATGATATTAGTACCTGCAAGACAAATAAAAATGGGTTAGGAGACTTACCTTGGCCGGCCATTATGGAGAAGAGCTGCACATGACTTGATAAGAATCAAAGTTTGGGGCCACCACTCTTATTTTCGCACAAATTGGTGTGCTGTTTGTCTCCTCTCATTATAGGAGCTATCCTCAACCAAATAACGTGTATGAGGTGTCCTTGGATAGCTTTTGAAGTCTATTTTTATAATTGAGTGGTCTCAATTCGAGAGGAGAGAGCAATCATCCAAAAATCGATCTGGAACGAGCAGAGGTCTGTGAACTCGAGCTGTGAGAGTGCTGAGACTGTTTGGTCGATATCTCGAGTTTTACAAATCCAATTAAGGCGTGTGAGATACCCACAGAAAGCTCTCAAGACGAGGAATCCGTGAAGGTCTGGTTTGCAGGAATCGGAGTTGTGGAAGGCTTCCAAATCGTCCGAGCAAAACACAACCTCGCAGGAGAGGATTTAATCTTCTAAAAGTGAGTTTTAACCCCAAAACTTTACTTTTCATTTTCCAAATGATATGAACGATTGGTGGGACTATCATACACTGATCCAAGTGTATAATATGTCCTTATAAAGTTATTTTAGTGATGTAAAGGTTAGATACTAACCTAGAGCAAATCTTGGAAAAACTAGGAAACGAGTTGACCGGGAAACACCCGTTCTAGGGGCTGTTTTCGTATCAACGATTAAGGGTTGAACTAGCACTTTGAGGAGGCTGTTTAACACTCATATTTAAGCAAGGAATCAGTTCCAAATCCACCTTGACCAAAGCTTTGACCATTGGACCAAGAAGGGAAAGTTTAAAGCTCAATTGAGGTGAGGATTGACATCTAATTGCTTACAACTTGTAGGTTAAGCATGAGATTACCTAAATGCTTAAATCATGATTTTTCATGGATTATGATGACTATATATTGATGAAATATTGATATAGTTGCCAAAGAATGAATTTGGAATGATTTGAGAAAGTATGAATAATATGAGATTAAATGAGTATAAATGAACTATTTTGTGAAAATGGGCATTTTGCTCATGTATGAATTATGTGGATACATAAATGAATATTTGTGTATTGAGATTGAATACTTAAGTTGCTGCTACATAATTATAAATATGTAGAGAATTACAAACAATGAGGATAATGGTACGATAACAATAATCTTAATAGTATTGGAATACTAGTTAGTGATTATTGGAACTTGTTGATTAAATTGATCCTAGGGATTGGATTGTATGAAAGGTACTTGAATGTAGTTCAAGTGTATATAATAACTTAGTATGGAACTAAGGTTAAGTGATGGGAAGTCTTTAAGGATGACCCATGGTAGTTTAATGATATGTCAATTCTAGGCATAGGGTTGCTTGAGAATTGGACCTTAATGCATGGTGATGTGGTAGAGCCGAGCTCTAGAATGCATGTAAGGTGTAGACTTGGAGTCTATGTATTGTATAGCTAGAGCCGAGCTCTAGGACTTGCGTGGTGATGTGGTAGAGCCGAGCTCTAGAACGCAAGGTAAGGAAATTGACCCGAGGTATATGAATTGTATGGTGATGTGGTAGAGCCGAGCTCTAGAATACAATGTCATGTACTAGGGTTGGACTCTAGGAGTTGTCGTGGCTTATAGTCACGGGGTTGGGAATGGTGATTTCCAAATGAACATGGGCCCACGGGCCGTCTACTTGACTTTTATATAAAGTAAGTATATTTTTAAACGGGGTAACTTAGGGTTACAATCATAATGTACTATCACCCTATTTGAGGGTCTTGTGTTTGAAATACTTGTTGTATATCTATTAGATGCCTGCCACACCAGCACTTTATAGCCGTATAGAGTGCTGACCCCTTCGGGGGCGTCCCACCACCATTTTTCAGGTTGAGGCTAGAGCTTGCTTCCTGTGCTCGTTGCTCGAGAGATCATCTAGGGGCGAAGACTTGGTTCGTGCTTCCTCCATTCGGATTTTAAACATTAATAAACATGCTCATGGATATTTTATTATAGAGCCTGCGTGCTCATGAATAGCCCTGTGTGGCCCTTTTGTTTTAAACAATGTTTTCCGCTGCTTTATGAATTACTTATTATGTTGTTTATGGATGACTTGTGTGTGAATGATATTCATGACGCCTTGTATAATATGAATGTGTTGGACTGCGGTTGACTATTCGTATTGTACGGCGGGTTGTCGACGTGTCCGGGGAGGTCCGGGGCGTGACAGATACAATGGTCACCGGGACCCCATGCAGCCTCACGATCTCATCCGTATACAATTTGGCTAACCTCTCAAGTGGGTAGGTAGTGTTGATAGGCAAGAAGTGTGCACTCCTTGTGAGCCTATCCACAACGACCCAAACCGCGTCATAGTTCCTGATAGTCCGTGGTAAGCCTACCACGAAATCCATAGTCACGTGCTCCCACTTCCATTCAGGGATGGAGAGTGGTTGCAATAAGCCTGCTGGGTGCTGATGTTCTGCCTTAACTTGTTGACAAGTAAGGCACCGACTGATGTACTCGGCTATTTCCCTCTTCATTCCAGACCACCAGTAACTTTCCTTCAAATCATGGTACATTTTCGTGCCCCCCGGGTGCATGGCATAAGCCGATGAATGAGCCTCCTCTAAGATGGACTTTCGGAGCTCATCATCTGACGGTACACACACTCGGTCACGAAATAACAAGAGACCATCATCTCTTTCCCTGAAATCCTCCACCGGCCCCGCTTGCATGCGTTCCCGGACCTTCATAAGTTCTTCGTCGGCTTCCTGACCCTTCTTGATCTCATCAAGTAAAGTGGGTCTCACCTCAAATCGTGCCAATAAGGCACCATCGCTGGTTACCTCCAGTTGGGCTCTTAATGCCCTCAAATTAGTTATCAATGCCCCAGACGAGCTCTTCCGGCTCAAAGCATCTGCCACCACGTTTGCCTTGCCTGGGTGATACTCTATCACTAGATGGTAGTCTTTTATCAGCTCCATCCACCGTCTCTGTCTCATGTTTAGCTCTTTCTGAGTAAACACGTACTTCAAGCTCTTGTGATCAGTGTATATGTGACATGTCTCCCCGTAGAGATAATGTCTCCATATCTTCAGTGCAAATACCACTGCCCCGAGCTCCAAATCATGAGTAGGATAATTCACCTCATGCTTCTTCAATTGTCGTGAAGCATAGGCGATTACCCTCCCATTCTGCATCAGTACACATCCGAGCCCTTGGATGCTCGCATCGCTATAGACATCGTACCCCACACCTTGTTTGGGTAATGCAAGTACCGGTGCCTCAGTCAATCTCTTCTTTAGTTCCATGAACCCTTTCTCACATTTGTCATCCCATACAAACTTAGCTCCTTTACGAGTGAGCTTCGTCAATGGCGATGCCAAAACAGAGAACTTTTCCACGAACTTTCTATAGTAGCCTGCCAATCCAAGGAAACTACGAATTTCCTTGACGTTCTTTGGCCTCTCCCATTCAGTAATGGCTTCTATCTTCTTGTTATCAACAGCAATCCCCGATCCCGAAACCACGTGCCCGAGGAAGCCAATCTCCTTTAGCCAAAATTCACATTTAGAAAATTTGGCATAGAGTTGCTTCTCCCGTAGTGTTTCAAGAACAAGTATCAAGTGCTCCTCATGCTCTTCTTCACTCTTTGAGTAAATCAAGATGTCATCTATGAACACAATCACGAATCGATCCAAGTATTTATGAAATACTCGGTTCATCAAGTCCATGAATGCCGCCGGGGCGTTTGTTAACCCAAACGACATAACAAGGAACTCAAAATGCCCATACCTTGTGCGGAAAGCACTCTTTGGTATGTCATCTTCCTTAATCTTCAATTGATGGTACCCCGACCTTAAGTCAATCTTCGAAAACACGGTTGCTCCTCGTAGTTGATCAAACAAGTCATCAATCCTAGGCAACGGATACCTATTCTTGATTGTGACCTTGTTCAGTTGACGATAGTCAATGCACATTCGAAGTGTCCCATCTTTCTTTTTCACAAAAAGAACCGGTGCTCCCCACGGGGAGTGGCTTGGTCTAATGAAACCGTTATCCAAAAGCTCTTGCAATTGGGTTTTCAACTCGTTAAGTTCAGCGGGTGCCATCCGGCATGGCGGTATGGAGATTGGTTTGGTACCAGGCTCGACCTCGATCACAAATTCAATCTCTCTGTCAGGTGGAAGCCCCGGTAGGTCTTTAGGGAAGACATCCGGATACTTACAAACCACCCTCACATCATCGATGTTCGTTTCCTCTTTGGTTTTGTCAACCACGTATGCTAGATATGCGTGGCATCCCTTCCTCATCATATTTCTCGCTCTCACGGCGGATATGATACAACTATTTGATTTGCCGCGGTCCCCCTCGAAGCGTAGGGTGTCCCCATGTGTGCCTTCGAGTTCCAACACCTTTGTGTAGCAATCTACCCTAGCATGATGCTTTTCTAGCCAATCCATCCCTAGGATTGCATCGAACTCCATCATACTCAGCGGTACGAAATCACACGTCAAGGTTTGGCCACCGATTTCCACCATACAAGATGGATAGTAATTGTTTCTTTCAACGTCTTCTCCTAGTGGGGTTGATACCACTAAGGTTTGTGTCATTGGTATTGATTGCATCTCTAAGCTCTCGGCAAACGCCTCACTCACGAATGAACGTTGCGCTCCGGTATCGATAAGGATTCGTGCATCCTTCCCGTTAATCTTTAGTGTCCCTACATTCATGAACCATGTAAGACATCTTTCCTATCCTCCCTACTCATTTATAGAAGGTTGCAATGTTCACACGCACGTTAGGGATCAAGAAGAGGCCTTAACGTCGCAAAACGATGCGAAAAAATCGGGTTTCGGCAATCTGGGTGCCAGGCACGGCGTGCCTGGGGTAGGCACGATCGTGCCTGGCTCAGGAAAACGCCCTGGGGCTACTGCCTTGGAGGCACGATCGTGTCTGCCTTAGGCACGATCGTGCCTGGGTTGGAAAAATCCTGGGAACCACTGACTTGGAGGCACGATCGTGTCTGCCTTAGGCACGATCGTGCCTGGTTTGGAGAAAAACCCTGGGCAGCTACTGCCTTGTAGGCACGATCGTGTCTGCCTTAGGCACGATCGTGCCTGGGCTGGGAATATTCCTGGGCAGCTACTGACTTGGAGGCACGATCGTGTCTGCCTTAGGCACGATCGTGCCTGGGTCCCAGCCGCCTGAAGTTGCCCGAAATCCCCCGGTTCGACCCCAAAACCTCGTGCAATGATCCTAGCGATTAGTATCCTCAATTTATGGACTAATTAAGGATAAAACACTAGTATATGAGAGGCAATACCTGCAACGGAGTCCGGGTTAGCTTGAGCATCCGCCTCCGTCATCGCATAGACCCTAGCCTGGGTCCTCCCTTGGTTCACGGATGGCGCGTTGCTCGCACTTGCTCCCCCTTGCCCCCTGCTTGCTTGAGAAGCCCCGGTCTGATTCCGTGTACCCGTCGGGCCACTACTTGGTCCCGATGTCCTTGCCCCCGCCCAGTTGTGGGCAATGTGCCTTCAAATGCCCGGCATCCCCACATTGGAAACATCTAGGGGGGTCGCGACATTTACCGGAATGGTTCCTCTTGCAATTGTTGCAACGAGTTACCACTGAGGTCTGTGACCTCGAGCCTTGCCCACTTGGGCCTTGGTTCCCCCTTGATGGTGGCGGTGGTGCCCGGAAAGATCCTCCTCCGTGGTTCCCCCTTTTGTTGGAACCTTGGGAGCCATGACCCTCCCATTTTCTCTTTTTTGCCTCTTCGGCGTCTCTCTTCTTCCGTTCCTCCCACTGTTTCTCCCCTTTCAATGCTTGTTCAACCACTTGGGCGAAAGTCATATTAGGCAATTGCGTTGCCCTATCACGTATCTCCAAGTCAAGAGCGTCCCAAAAGTGGTTCACCATGCGGTTCTCGTCACAAGCATACTCCGGTATGTAGTCGGCGAGATCCCGGAACTTGTACTCAAGCTCCTTCACTGACATGTTACCCCCTTGGGTTAGGAGGGTGTATTCCCTCACCTTCTTATTCACCTCGAAATCAGAATAGTATTGGGCAAAGAACTCCCGTTGGAAGTCCTCCCAAACGACGGTCTCACCGTACTTGTTCTTGGTTCCATCCCACCACTTGGATGCCATCCCCTCGAGCAATCTTACCGCAATTCTCAGTTTGAGATTCGGCGCGATTTGCATGTCAAGGGCCGCTTCATTTAGCCTCTTGATCCATTGTGCTGCCACTGAAATGTCCCCTGCTCCATCAAAGGGTTTGCACCCCAAATCTCTTGCTTCTTTGATGTATTTGGAGATCCTTATGGTTGGACCTCCATCATTTTGGCCTCCACGTGGTTCCACATGGACTCTAGATGCACCATGACTTCCTCCTCGTGAAGCCATGCCCGAAGGTTGCCCAGCCCGGCGCCTTCGGCGTTCCCTCCTCTCTTCACGCTCACGGTGATATTGTTGGAGTAGTGCCTCAATCCGCGCTAAGGAGCCGTTGTCCTCCTCATCACTTACATCATCATCATCCCCTTCATAAGGGGTTTCAACCGGCTCTGTTTCCGGCCGATAGGTCGAGTCCTCATAGGACCAGTAGCTGTCACTTTCGGTGCTCACATGACCGTCACTCACGGTCCGTGATTGGCCTCCACGGCCCGCTCCTCTAGATGCCCTAGAGGTCCTACGACTGCCTTGCCCAGTCTCCTCGGGTGCACGGCCCAAAGGGTTCCTCCTAGTTACCTTGCCACCACGGTCCATTTCTGAAAGAAGTTTGGAAAGAGTCGTTAGACTCGTATCAAATGTCAATTGACGGATAGGTACTTAAGACACATTTTGGCTCGAGTCACCGCCATACCAATTGCTAAGGGTACCATCTTAACAATTAGAGACCTTGCAACCCAAGTACCAAAAGCTCTCCAAGTACAAAACTTCTATGCTCATGGTTTTCAAAATCTTTTCAAAAAGAGGATTTTGAGACTTCATTATGAAGTTTACAGACTAAGGCTCTGATACCAACTTAATTGTCACGCCCCGGACCTATCCGGACACGTCAACAACCCGCCGTACAATACGAATAGTCAACCGCAGTCCAACACATTCATATTATACAAGGCGTCTTGAATATCATTCACACATATACATCCATAAACAAACATAATAAGTAATTCATAACGCAGCGGAAACATTGTTTAAAACAAAAGGCCACACAAGGCATTTCATGAGCACGCAGGCTCCATAGTAAAATATCCATGAGCACGTTTAGGAAGGTTTAAAAACAGAATGGAGGAAGCACGAACCAAGTCTTCCCTCCTATATGATCTCTCGAGCAACGAGCACAGGAAGCAAGCTCTAGCCTCAACCTGAAAAATGGTGGTGGGACGCCCCCGAAGGGGTCAGCACTCTATACGGCTATAAAGTACTGGTGTGGCAGGCATCTAATAGATATACAACAAGTATTTCAAACACAAGACCCTCAAATAGGGTGATAGTACATTATGATTTGTAACCCTAGTTACCCCGTTTAAAAATATACTTACTTATTATAAAAGTCAAGTAGTCGGCCCGTGGGCCCATGTTTATTTGGAAATCACCATTCCCACCCCCGTGACTATAAGCCACGACAACTCCTAGAGTCCAACCCTAGTACATGACATTGTATTCTAGAGCTCGGCTCTACCACATCACCATACAATTCATATACCTCGGGTCAATCTCCCTACCTTGCGTTCTAGAGCTCGGCTCTATCACATCACCACGCAAGTCCTAGAGCTCGGCTCTAGCTATACAATACATAGACTCCAAGTCTACACCTTACATGCATTCTAGAGCTCGGCTCTATCACATCACCATGCATTAAGGTCCAATTCTCAAGCAACCCTATGCCTAGAATTGACATATCATTAAACTACCATGGGTCATCCTTAAAGACTCCCCATAACTTAACCTTAGTTCCATACTAAGTTATCATATACACTTGAACTACATTCAAGTACCTTTCATACAATCCAATCCCTAGGATCAATTTAATCAACAAGTTCCAATAATCACTAACTAGTATTCCAATACTATTAAGATTATTGTTATCGTACCATTATCCTCATTGTTTGTAATTCTCTACATATTTATAATTATGTAGCAGCAACTTAAGTATTCAATCTCAATACACAAATATTCATTTATGTATCCACATGATTCATACATGAGCAAAATGCCCATTTTCACAAAATAGTTCATTTATACTCATTTAATCTCATATTATTCATACTTTCTCAAATCATTCCAAATTCATTCTTTGGCAACTATATCAATATTTCATCAATATATAGTCATCATAATCCATGAAAATCATGATTTAAGCATTTAGGTAATCTCATGCTTAACCTACAAGTTGTAAGCAATTAGATGTCAATCCTCACCTCAATTGAGCTTTAAACTTTCCCTTCTTGGTCCAATGGTCAAATCTTTGGTCAAGGTGGATTTGGGACTGATTCCTTGCTCAAATATGAGTGTTAAACAGCCTCCTCAAAGTGCTAGTTCAACCCTTAATCGTTGATACGAAAACAGCCCCTAGAACGGGTGTTTCCCGGCTAACTCGATTCCTAGTTTTCCAATATTTGCATCTAGGTTAGTATCTAACCTTTACATCAATAAAATAACTTTATAAGGACATATTATACACTTGGATTAGTGTATAATAGTCTCACCAATCGTTCATATCATTTGGAGAATGAAAAGTAAAGCTTTGGGGTTAAAACTCACTTTAGAAGATTAAATCCTCTCCTGCGAGGTTGCGTTTTTCTCGGACGATTTGGAAGCCTTCCACAACTCCGATTCCTGCAAACCAGGCCTTCACAGATTCCTCGTCTTGAGAGCTTTCTTTTGGTATATCATACGCCTTATTTGGACGAGTGAAGCTCAAGTTATGGATCAAACAAGAGACCCTATCTGCTGGAAAACGAATCCTGCGGCCAGCTTCTCTCTTCTCTTCTCCCTTGGAATATGTGGCTCCCTCTTTCTCTCTTATCTTGGGAGTTCGAATGGGGTGTAGGGGAAATGTATTAGGAAGGCCTCAATCATGCTAAGAGAGCATGTGGTTCACAAAAAGAAAGGTGGGGTATTTGATTGCAATCAAACATGGTATGGACCTCCTCTTTTATTTCCTTTTTGTAATGTTGTAGCTCATGAGTCAAAAGTCCGCCCCACATAGTTGTCTCATCCATTTTTCTTTGTCTTTGCAGGTACCAAGGTCATGTGGGATGGTTCCCAAATGATCCCATTTAATTTGGGGTCCAAAATATCTACCAATACTTCCAAAAATGGGAAGATGGGTCCTATTGTTTTATCTTTGTCAAAAGATGTCTTTTTTTTTGTACTCATTCTAATTTATTTAGAGCAAGTCAACTTCCTAAATCACATTATTGATCTCCAATATGTGTAGGCTCATCCCAATAATTTACATGATGAAAATTACAAAAGAATGCGGGTTTGAACAATACAATATTCAATCATGTACTTCGTAAAATATTAATCGTTTCTTCCATTGCTTTGAAATCGGAAATTCAATACATCACTTTTGAATTTTTAAATCGAATTTTCAAGGACGTTCGGGTGCGGTGTCACACTACGTGCGAGAGAGAAAATTTTCCCGGTCAATTGTTTTAGAAGACTTATCTTATGCCCAAAAGCCCTACGTATGGGAGAGAAAATTCATCCGCTCAATTATTAGTCCGCTTATCTTATAGCTAAGAGCATCACGTAATAAAGAGATAATTCTCTCGCTGAAGTTTTAGCAGGCTTATATTCTTATATCTAAAGAACTACATATGAGAGAAAATTCTCTCGCTGAATAGTTAGCCTTCTTATCTTATACATAAAAGCAATATGTATGAGAGGCAAAAATCTTTTGCTCAAGTTTTAGTCGGCTTATCCACTTCTTATGTCTAAAAGTACAACGTATGAGAGAGAAAATTTTCTTGGCCAATTGTTTTAGACGTCTTACCTTATGCCTTAAAGCATTACATATAGGAGAGAAATTTCTTCCGCTCAATATTAGTCCGCTTATCTTATACCTAAGAGCATCACGTAATAGAGAGAAAATTCTCTTGCTGAAGTTTTAGCCGACTTATCTTCTTATATCTTAAATAACTACACATGAGAGAAAATTCTCATGCTGAATAGTTAGCCTTCTTATCTTATACATAGAAGCACTACGTTTGAGAGGCAAAATTCTTCTGCTCAAGTTTTAGTCGGCTTATCTTCTTCTTATGCCAAAAGCACTACGTATGAGAGAGAAAATTTTTCCACTCAAGTTTTAGTTGGCTTACCTCATCTTAGACATTTTGAAGAAAATAACACTAATGTTCCACATATCAAATATGGCCTTTAAAAATTAAGCATAAAGTAATTATGGAAAATTATATATACACAATATATTTTATCATTACAATATAAAAAAATACAAAAAGTTGCTAAAATATATGACCACAATACTTATTTTGTCTATATAATAGGAATTATTTCTTTCATTAATAAGTAAATAATTCGTGGTAAGGTAAGAAAACTATGAATCTTGATATGCTTTTGTTAAAAATGGATCACTGATGAAAATGTTTTTACTATTGAGAGAAAAAAGGGTTTTTTAAAAATGTGTTATTGATGTTTGTGTAGGGGAGATCAAAATAGGTTCAACCACAAATTTATTACTTTAAAAGAAAAGTGACAAAATTTTAAGGTTAAAAAATTATCGTAAAAAAATATAGGCAATATTGATGTCATATGAAAGATCGTAAAAAAATCTGATGTTTTTGTAAAAATTGAATTAATAATGAAAAAGTTATAACACTTTAAAGAAAAAAAGATGTTTTTTCATTTTATGGGACCCACCGAATACATTTACACGCTTTGATATTTCGTGTTTGTTCATTGAATTTTAGAAAGAAAAGAGCGAAAGAAGTGTAAGTTGCCACGTGTCAAATTTTTAGAAATTGAGTGAATCTTGGAGAGTTAGCCACATGTGAAGTTAGAGGGCAAAATGGTGTTTTTTGTAACGATCAGAGTACAAATAAAAAAGATATAGCACTTCAAAATTTAGGGAAATACATTTGATTGAGATAAATTAATAGAAAATCTTAAAACCAAGTAAAAATTAAATTTGAAAGTTAATAAAAAATTATTAAATTAGATATTTTTGTAACGATCATAGTACAATTAAAAAAATATAGCACTTTTAAAAATTAGGATGCTTAATTTGATTGAGATAAATTAAAAGAAAATCTTAAAATTAAGTAAGAATTAAATTGTACGGAGTAGTTGCTTAAATTCTTTAGAATTAGAGTACACAAATTGCACACTTGTGGATTCCTGGTACGAATTACGTAGCATGATAGGTTTTATCTCTTAGAATTATTATTATCACTATTATTAGAAGACGAAAAAGGGAGTGAACGAATAGTAATGAATGCAGAGGAATCGGGTGATTGTTTTGCTTCCGTTTTTACAAAAAAACTCAATTCATTTGGAAAGAAGCGGCCACGTGGCATTAAGCAATGAGAGGAGAAAATTATGGAGAGAGTGACACATAGCAATGAAGGATGTAATTGTCATTTAAGGAGCTATTTGTTTTCTTATATATAAATAAATAGATAGAATAGAGAGGCCGTCTTTCTCTGACCAGTAAAGTAGGGTTTCTCCTCCGACGCCAGTCCTGTACTTTTCCTTCTGTTCACGGTGCACTGCTGTGATCTATCTTACGCCGCCGTCAGAGGTAAGCTCTTTATCACACGCCGTATTTTCAATATTCTTTGATATTCCCCAAATCAAGGCACAAGTTTGGGAATTTTTATCTCTTACTTTCCGATTTGTTGATCGTTATAGACGCATTCTGTTCGATTGTTGATTAAGCCGGGGCAGTGTTTTGCTAGGTTTTTGCTGCTTGCTGTACGATCTATCGGCGAGTGAATTCGTGAAAGATTTGTTCTTGGGACGCACGGGGGAATTCGTGAATTCCATCTAACACTAATGTTTTACGGAGTATCATCTTTTGGGGTCACTAATGGAATATTAAGCCTATCAAGTGGTGTATTTGTTATTTTAATAAACCTGATTTATCATTTGGTAGTTTGACCAATCCTTGAAGGGAAATGTAATTAACCATTTTTAACCATTTCATGCAATTTTATTGTACTAATCATCATTAAAGTTTATGTTTCTTATTCCAGGAGGTCGGCAATTGGGAAGTCAATCAAGGGTTGAAGAACCACTATCAGTATCTCTTCCTGCAGATCTTTCTGTTGAAAACCATCCAATATCTTTATGGCCACGGGTACCCGACCCTCAGAATCCTTCAGGCCATATGCTTTCCCATTTTCCTGGAGGACCACCGCCTTCTCACATCCCTATCTGTGAGATGAATCCTGTCTTGGGTGGTCCTATTTTTTCCTTTGGGCCTCACGAAGAATCAACTGTCTCCCAAACTCAACCCCAGAAGAGTACTGGCACAGGTGCATGGCAACAGTGTCATTCCTCCATCACAACCTTCTTTTTTCCAGTTTGGCCAGTTCAGGTATTCACCTCCTATCTCCCAAGGAATTTTGCCAGGGACAGCTCTACCAGTGTCTTTCATTCAGCCAAAGCTACAAAGCAGTAAATATAATGTGAATCAATGTAATGGAGGTTACCGTGGGCAGTCTCACAGAGATGATTCAGAACTAGATTCATCATCGGTAAGAGCTGCAGGGAACAATGCTCAGACACTTGTGATCAACTCCGAGGTTTCTGGTCATACTGAGACCAAGGAACAGGATAGTGTAGATATGCAGAGTAATCTGGAATCATCCAAGGGGCAGAATGTATCGACTGTAAGTCGGGTGATTTCTGGTGGATTTAAGTCTCAAGGTTCATTCTCTGGCACAAAGGGTAAGAGGTTCACTTATGCTGTTAAAAATAACAGTGCTAGGTCAACTTCTAATGCTTTTGAGACTTCTTTCTCAGATTTTAATGGGTTTCAAAGGAGACCACGACGGACAGTCCAACGGACAGAATTTCGAGTTCGGGAGATTGCTGATAAGAGACAGTTTTCTGGTGCTCTCCCAGTTAATGATACTGGTTTTGATGATAAGGCAGCATACGGTGGAAGGTATGGAGGGTTTTTTACAAGAAGTGGATCCAAGAGAGGTTCAATCATTCAATGCCTAATAAATCCATGAAACACACAGTAGAAGCTGAAAAGTCTAGTCAGGGAAGCAATGGTTCTCGAAATATTGCTACTATGAAGGATCATGTTATTAAGAGGCAGAGTGGTCTTTCTAATATTCGGGAGGGAAATTTGAAGAGGAATAACATATATGAGGAAGATGTTGATGCTCCATTGCAGAGTGGAGTTGTACGTGTTTTTAAATAACCTGGTATTGAAGCCCCTAGTGATGAAGATGACTTTATTCAAGTGAGGTCTAAAAGGCAAATGCTGAATGACCGCTGGGAACAGAGAGAGAGAGAGAGAAATAAAAGCAAAATCTCGGGCCTTAAAGGTTCTAATGATGCATATAATATTTTAGCTACTTCATGTTAAAGTTTAGGGGTTTTTACTTGAATATTACTAATTTTGAACCAATTATCCAAAAAGTGACTACTTTTAAAAAGGGGCAAAAAAGTGATCAATAAGATCATATATATGTAGAATTAGAAAACATGATGTCACTACAACACCGCCCGTGTCACTGTAGCCACCGCCCGTGTCACTGTAGCCACCGCCCGTGTCACTGTAGCCACCGTTCGTGTCACTGTAGCCACCGTTCGTGTCACTGTAGCCACCGCTCGTGTCACTGTAGCCACCGCTCGTGTCACTGTAGCCACCGCTCGTGTCACTGTAGCCACCGCTCGTGTCACTTTGTTCGTTTTTTTGTAACTAGAGTTGTCAAATTTTTTCACGCCAATTACACCGCCACTGTCACCGCCACACTAACACCGTCATAGTGCCGCCGCCGCCGCAGTGATGCCTTCAAAGTGACGCCGCCATAGCGACGCCTTCAAAGTGACACCGCCACA